CAGTTGTCTTTACATCGAAACACGGTCCTTGTTGTTCATCTGGAAAAGAAAATAATTGATCAGGTGAACCTTGTAATCTCAGGAGGAGCCACAAAACAATTTAATGTTGTGTTTTTATAGTAAATTATTAAATTCACTGAACACATATCACCAGGTGCACAAAACTGAATTTACTTAAAAGTAAATTTTATTTTTATTGTAAAATATTAAATGCACAGAAAACAAATAAGACCAGATTTGTAGTTCTCATATCACAATGTTAACAAGACTCCCTTAGACTCCAAGCATGTGCTTAGAGCATTCATTGATTTGGATCCTTACCAATCGATAAAAGTTAGTAATGTTTTCATAAAGGATACCATTCTTATTTTTAACAGTACAACACATGTGGTACAGGTTTAGACCCAAAAATACACACTACAAAATAACTATTGTATGCATGTCAATGGCAACTAATGTTGGTTAATTTTGTTAATTGTACACTCTTTTTATTACTTACCCGCCTGAATCCGCGCCTGCGTATACATACATATATATACAAATATGGAGTAAGTGATGATAATCTAATTAAAAATATTACAACTAAATTAAATAACTTATTGTTATTGTAAAAATCACTTCCCCCTCACTTAGACCAAAAGCATCATCAATATCAAACTAGAAAATGACCTAAGGAAATTTTGGAGGTGCCTGCCACTTGGTGCATGTTCGTGTGTGCATAATATTTGGACTGGCACCAAAGGCTTAATGGGGTTAGTTGGGTTCACCGTACCTTGGCATATATCACCATACCAGGTGGCAAATTGCTTGTTCATGGTTGATGGCGACTGGCATCACCATACCGAGTGGTGACTTGCTTCGCTTCACCTACTGGGGACTGGCTTCACAACACCTGTTGGCGACTAGCGTCGCCACCCCTAGTGGTTGACTGATGTCACATTAGCTAGTGGCGGCTAGCGTCGCACACCAACTGGTGACTGGCGTTGCCAGACCTAGTCGCGGCTGGGGTAATGATAAAGATCCATATAGTGCAATAAATTGCTGAGTATCTTATATAGGGTTTTATTTTGTAGAGGACCTGTTGTCTTAATTTGAAGGTCTACCAGGGCTGTGACTTTAGCATACGGTTAGCCTCTGGTGAGATACATCCATTTACAATTGTAGAATCTCTCTTTTTCCTTCTTATTAGATTAGCCTTTGCTTCATTACGGAGGAAATGGATTAGCTTAATTTAGAACTTATAAAGTCTATCAGGGTTGTGTATTATGGAAAAGGTAATTCCCAACAATGATACTTAGCGATTTTCCAATTGTGAAATCAGTCTCTTTCCCTGTTATAAGGTCAATAGATGCTTTATTACAGCGGCAACGGGAGGCTTTTATTTGTGTCAAGGGAGGGGTCATGGCCAGCAGTGATATAGGCCATTTCTCAATATGTGTACTTGTGCGTACTCATGTGCTCGTGTACTCGTGAAATGTCATCAGTCTTAGCCCTAGTACTGTTCCAATTCACGAAGACAGCAGACTGAGAACAGAAAAAGTCCTCAGATGTTGTTCTCGCCCCTCCCTATTACAGACTTATACAAACTTGTCTGTTCTTAAGATTGACAGCTGTCCGAGCATGCACATCGGCAGCAGCAGCTTTCAATGGAGAGCGGCATTGAAAGTTAAAAGTCCTCTTTTCTGTTGCTGTTGTTCAATAAAAGTACATTTTAAGATCATTTTAGGCTTCTTTAAAGCGTCACTACATGGTCCATTTACCGATTTAATGCATAATTTAAAAAAACATTTCCAAAGTTGAGAGGACCGCGGCAACCAGTGGGCCTCCGAGGCTAACGGCAGCAAGGGCTAACCTGTCTAACAGCAGCACCTCTCTTGGCATAGCCGTGTGCAAAGTACCGCTGGCTCTGATGGAGGTTTTTTTTGTTGTACTTGGCAGTGTGCATTTGATTTGTGTTTATCTGACTGTGTTGATTGTTATTCCCCCACTATGAATGAAAAAAGTAATACAATTATTATTATTTAGAGACTATTAATAACAGGAGGTGAGCACCTTCAAATGACTTTTGATAATGGGCAAAACACTTCCGAACAAATAAGTGCTGAACGAAAACCGTAAGTGGGTTGCAATGCATTGACTGCCCTCCTATGCAATGCTTATTGCAGGCCCCAAAAATAAAGAGTCAGTTTTTTGGCGACAATAATAATAGGTGCCTCCATGCACTGCAACGGCAGGCACCAATTAAAGAAACACATTGCTTTTGTATTATTGAGTTTCTGTACATTCAGTTGGCTGTAGACAATTTGGACGAGAGAAAAATCTGAAGAAATGAAATATAAAAGGTGAGATCAGGGGCAGTGCTAGCTATTTGGGGGCTCTGAGCCTTACTGTGTAATGCCTAATACTTGAAAATGGACACTAATACAGTTTGTTTCTCTTTATTTTTGAAATAAATTTCCAATAATAATGTTTGATAAAACAATAAATAGATAAAAAAAAAAATCATAGTCAAATGGATAAAATGCATTTCTCCAAAGTGTGTCTGGGGTCTCCCTTAGAGATAGAGTGAGGGGCTCAGTCATCCAGGGAGGAACCACTGCTCCTCCACATCGAAAGGAGCCAGTTGAGTTGGCCTCGGGCTTCTAGTTAGGATGCCTCCTGGACGTCTCCCTGGTCAGGTGTTCCAGGCATGTCCCACCGGGAGGAGGGCCAGGGGGGGATCCAGGACACGCTGGAGCAGGGGTGCCCAACCAGTCGATCGCGGTCTACCAGTCGATCGTGGGCGGAGTTTCAGTCGATCGCGAGAAGTTTTACATTGTAGAACTATTTATGTTCTATGAGAAAAAAAAAGTTTTAAAAAACACTAATCAAATCATTGATCACGAGATGCCAATATGTATTTTCATAATAATAAAATGAAAAAAAAAAGTATGCAGGGAACATTTTTTTATGCATGCTGATTGCTGGGCATGGTTTGCCATGGTTGCTAGGTTGTTACCAGGGACTCTAAAGCGTGAAGAGGAATCTGAAGAGATAATGATATAATGACATCTATCACAACTGATGGGGCTCCATCTATGGTTGGGTGCACTGCTGGATTTGTTGCTCTGTTCAAGCTGTCGGCAATATTTTAAATATGAACCATGTCATGGACGTTGCGATGAAGATCGCTTGCACTGTTTGGGGCCAGGAGTTTACAGAGGTGTTTATTCCGTGTGCAGCTCGAGGAGGCAGGTGGAGACCACACTGATCTGCTGCTGCACAACGATGTCAGGTGGCTGAGTCGTGGCAGATTCTTCGAAAAATTGTTGGAACTTTTGCCCGAAATTAAAAAGTTTCTGAGTCAGTCAACAACCCATTCTGCCCTATGTTACATCTTCACATCCACATAGTTTATACTTAGTATTTTCCTATTTTTATCTGTTTTCCTGATGAATTTTAATCCATCTGCCAGCTTCTCTGCCAATGCCCAGTGAAGTTTATCATTCTGAAATAGTGGACTTCCCTTTTGCTTTCTGCTTTGAAGTGATCTTAGACTTTGACAGATTATATTTGCCATTTTGTTTACACAAGTGTAAAACAAAAAGAAATGTAGTTCTCTGGACAATTTCATCTTTTTTAAAATGCAGCCTTGAAACGTAGTTAAAAAAATTGGTGTCAAGTACTTATATTGTTAAGTTTTGTTTTTGCAACCTGTTTTTTGACACAATTGATAATTTCCTTGTGTGTTGGACTTACTGTTTATTCTCCACCTGTGCAAATAAAAAACATACTGCCCATGCCTTGTGTTTGGCTTGGTAGATCTCGGCATGGCATCAACTTCAAAAGTAGATCTTGGTTTAAAACAGGTTGGGCACCCCTGCGCTAAAGGGACTATGTTTCTCGGCTGGCCTGGGAGCGCCTTGTGATTCCCCCACAGGCCCAAGTGGCCTGGAGAAGTGAGGATGGATGGATGGTGGATGGATGGATGGATGGATGGATGGATGGATGGATGGATGGATGGATGGATGGATGGATGAAATGCAACACTGGGGAGTGTAATACTGTACTAGTGCTTACCTAATAGAAGCTGTTAAAATAAAAGGTGTTTGACTAAAGGTCTGTTCACACAGGATAAACATTATATTATCATAACCTGATCTTGGTGTCATCTGTAATGATTTTGTGAAAATAATGTTATTGAAATTCCTGATGAAAGAATGTAGGAAGGACAATTTATTACATTTAATCTATCTTCATAACATGGAAACTACTTGTTTATCTACTGCTTTATTCACCATCTTTGTTGCAACTTTGATTTCACCTATTTGATTATTTTCTGCTTTATCAATGCCTTTATGCCAAGTTATTGCCCCTGTTCATCTTCTTAGGTCAACTAAAAGATGACAATTGACATTATAGATTAAGTGACTTCCACCAGTCTCTTGTAGATTAACGCCTATTAAAGGTGTAGACACGATTGCCTATTCATGCCTGTATTACAATCAGATACAGAGATTGATCACAACCTTCAACGTCTGTCAGCAAATTTTTCCTCCCACCAGTTTTCTAAATGAAGTTTATAAGCTTTTCTCTTTGTTTTTTCTTAAGTGTGCGTTACTGTTATTTTGATGTATTTTTTGGAAACTGAAATATGTTTATCTGTGCAATGTACAGATGCAACTCAATTTCGGATTTTAAAAAAAGCACCATTTGTTGTTGACAAGCACTGGTTGGGGAGGTAATGGAACAAGTTATGAAACGGTTTTCAAAGGAACATTTATTGTAGTGGATAGCTGGCTTCCATTCCTTTGCAGATTCAAATGGTCATGTTTTCTTTAGTTCTTTTTTGATTTACATGTTTGACACTGGTGGAACTAGATGTTCAGGATCTGTAGATAACTCAAAATAACACCTGGGAGACTTGTTCCTACATTCACCATGGCGTGTCTCAATTGTGCATCCATAGTTTTTCCATGCTATACAAGGTTAATTAAAAGTTTTTCTTTTTCTTTTTAAAGACCATAACCGGGTACATGCTACAGATGTGCTCCATGCTGTTTGGTACCTGACCACTCGACCAATCCCTGGATTTCAGCAGATACACAGTGAGCATGTGACGGGAAGTGACACAGGTATATATCATCGAGTCATCAGAAAAAATGTTGTTACATGCATAATAACCCAAGGCGGCTAAATCATCCTCCGCATGGTGAAATGGATTATGTAAAAAAATAAAAAAAAATCTCTATTTATTGATTAAGAATTTACATACCTTTTGACGTAAAGTTTCTGTCATGTACCACAAGATATGTGATATTAAATATTTTCTTGTCTTTAATCATGAGTTTAAGCTTGAATAGGTTTTTTTTGTGTCCTTCACACTGTTCTCACCGTGCAAATGTTGCAAACTGTTTGTGTTTCCCAGACTCAGACAGTGGAATCTCCCCAGGCAGAATATCTTACGCCACGTCCAAGAGCTCCTCAATTTCAGATGACAGCTATGGCTGCCTGGCCTGGAATATACCTGCCCTGGAGCTCATGGCCCTTTATGTAGCAGCTGCAATGCACGACTATGACCATCCTGGTCGTACAAATGCCTTTTTAATTGCCACTAATGCACCTCAGGTAACTTGCAGTGTCTATTGGTCTTGGAACTGTAAAAGTTATAAATAACTTTTTGTCTTAAACTGAAAACAGCTGCCAGCACACAACAGCAGTGGTTGAAACTTACATCATAGTGGCAAATTTATTTGGCTCCCTTGATTTAATGTGTAGATACCTTCCAAGTAAGTCTTATGTTACCCTGAGCTTTGCATGATAACAAGGTACTGTAAACGTCAGTCCTTGCACAGTCTCAGTTGTCATGTTTCAACTTGTTTAAATCCTTTGAGTTACTACTATATGTATGTATTTTCTTGTAGCCATTTCTGACTTAATAAGATCAGAACGCTGTGTGTGTTTCCTGAATCAAATATTCTCATGTAATTTCTAGTTTAAAGAGCGATGAGATTATCTTGCCCTCTGTTTCAGGCCATGTTTTACCCCAATGAAGCAAAAAGTTATGGATTAGAAATTAAAATCTATTGGAAAAGTTTAAGGTAAAATGTCTATATCATTCAAAATCAACTTTGCTCCTCCCACATCAAAACCATGCCCAGAGTTGCATTTTGCTACATGCATGCATGTCTGAATAATCCTTGTGAATTATTTTGCCTGGACAGTATCAGGGAAACACCAGTACCAGATTTTCCTAACCCAAATAAGAGTAGAAGTACTGACATTTAAGTACTTGTCAATCCTTAGTACTGATACGAATAACATATAACAGATAGTTATACCTAGTTGCAGTTTTTATCATATTGTCTCATATGCTAAGTAGACACAGGTGAACTTTTACCTTGAATCTGGTAAAGCACAGATGCATTTTTTTTTTCTTTTTGACGGCTTTGCTAAACATGACTTGCTGTCCTTCTTCATCAACAATGAGTCTTCTTTAAGTTGTGCTTTTAAAGTTGTTGAATGAACGAAGCCCAACTTACAGTCCAGCCTGTATGCTAAGTTAACTGGTGGGATGCTTCTTCTTCTGTTAAAGGTATAGTGGAGAATTTTCATAAATGTTTGAAAAGACCCTATCCACTTAAAAAACAAAACAAAAAAATCGCCCATACACATCCCTGTACCCGCTCCAGAGAGGGAACGCCTATTCAACGCGTGCAAGTGCGTGCACAAGACCATTTCTCCTTGTGCACGCTCTGTTTAAAAGTTGCTGTTTGCATCACTCGTACAAGTTTAATTACCAAAACAAGATTTGCAATTTTTCCACTATGTCAGACTGACCACCGGTAAGCGAAAATGGCAGCCGCTCTAGCAGTTGTTCTTGCTATTTCTTCTTGTGGTTTATCCTCCCCTTATGGTATTTAACTTCCACTTACTAAACTGCCGTATTGTTCACAAACTGTCTGTTCAAGGGAAAATGACAACAGTGTCTGGTTCTTAAATATTGTAGCACTTAACTCACTTGTGATATTAGGCTTGACCATTTCTACCATGCTCTTGTGACTCCAGGGCAACCAATTAAATTGGCGGCACCTACAATGTGGGAGGTCCTATGGCATTAAAGGCAAAAGACTTTCTTTTGGTTTGGAAGAAAATAACTAATATTTCATTGCAAATGACTATACCATATGGCCAAAAGTAATATTTGATCTTATATATTCCTATATTCGACTTTGGATTAATTAAAATCTTAATATTGGAACTTAAAGTTTTCCATAGAAAATCTTGTCATTGTTAGGTTCACCAAAAATACATAAATGTTTAAGAAGCTGTTGTGTAATGCTTTATTTAACTGCTATCACCTTACTTGCAGCAGCAGTTTTCCAGTGTTTCTGTCGTCCATAAAACAAATAATGCAATCTCCTCCATTATCTCAGTCTGCCATCCACCGAGCACAGAGGGTCATTGTTTGCTAAGCTTTCAACCTGACCTTTAAAAGGATTTTTCTTTTCTGGCAACCAT